ATTTTCGAAATGCTGGCTACACAAAACGTGGTTTATGATTCTCCCCAGTCGACACAAATTGTAACTGCTATATAATTTGGGAGTAATAATTTATATAACAAATATTTCATGACATTTATATTGCAATTACATCTATTTACTGCTTTCTTTTATATAATATAAATGTGCAAATGCTACATATTACTTACATAAAATGAATGCGATGGTTCAACATATAACTAATATTACAACATAATATTATAGCAATATAAAGTTAATATCATTTATGAGTTGTATAATACTATCATATTATATAGAATTAAATCATTGAAATTACATATATTTTATATTTTATTGCAATATGTATTTAAAACATATAGTTCTTATATTTTAATTACATAACGCAGGTATATTTATTTAGTATCATATTAACATCGTTTTTATTACATTCTAAAATTCATAATAAAATACGCGTCATATAATAATTAATGTACAAGAGCTAATAAATAGTAAATATTTTGAATACATATATTTCGATCGTATATATTAATTTATGTATATATATATGTATAGCTCCCTGCATCTTGATGGGCGCGGAAACGTTTGCCATTGTGAGCGTTAATGTAGTATTACATATATTAGTAGAACGCACTAAAGACAGCCGGCATATCCAATAAACGTACAATTCTTCTGGAAAAGCAATACGTTGATCCGATATCACGCGTCGCATGATGCATATCGCGTCGCAAATCGCGCTGGTGTGCCGGAGCCATTAGCGCCAAGCTGGCCGAGCGCGGCGTCACTTTTGGTGGGGTAAAAGTGGAGGGGCTGATTCTCGCCGTTGCGCAGGAATTTCCCACCAATTTCCCATGATGTGATCGATCATCATCGATGGTCTTTTTATATTATGGCCGTTTAGTTGTGTTGTGATCGGTTCTTTATAAAGAAAACTTTTAATGGGTAAGTTTTATTATTTATGCATATCTACTGGATTTAATTTAGAATGTAAAAGGGATAATGTGTTATGTTTTAATATTAGATTGCTGTTATTATTTGATTTATACATGAGATTCTTCAGATTATCAAGGATTAAATTGATATCTAACCTATATATTTTCCAGTTCTTTCTCGCCATCTATAAAATAGCACGTGTCGTACATCGATCAGCATTTCGTATTTAATTGATATCGAGATCTTAAATCTTTGACGAAATCAGAAATCTCACAAAAAAACACTTTAAGCGAAATAACGGAAATAACCTATTGGAGGCATTGGTAAAATTATTCGATCACATAAAAGATATATATATATATATATCTACATGGGCTACGTTCCAATTAACTTCGATCCTCTCCGAGGAAAATTTTAGTCGAAATATGTAGTACACGTAACGTATACTACAGCATATAAAGTAAAATCTTCTCCAGAGAGGAAGTTTTGGAACGTAGCCTCGAGTTATATTATTATGGTAAAAATTAGACTACAAATTTAAATACATCAATATTTATTTTACTACTTTTTATCTTATTCCCAGTCAAAAATTGAAAATCTTGTGGCCTCATTATTTGTATTTAAGCCTATATTTATATAATTGTTAAAAATGTACGTAATAATGAATAGTAATGCCTGCATTTAACGTTATATGTATTATAGAAGGTTAGAAGTCATTTTTTTAAGAAGTATATTTGAAAAGAAGTACGATTTTTCAAAAATACATCGAATTTTTTTTACTATTTTTGTGTACAAAATTGTGTAAACTTTCTTTTTCTAAAATGTTCTTCTACTTTGAAATTAAAAAGCTTATGGAAAACAGATAAAAGAGAAAATTGTAGTGTGTTTGAATTATATACATTTTTTCAAAATTTTTGAAAACTTTCTCCAACGATCAATATCTTTGTGAAAAATGGTATCAATTTTTATTATAGGCATTTTAAAGCTTGAAAAGTCTACTTTAAAATACTTGTATTATAAATTATTTTATTAAATGCAGCGTGTAATACAATCTTATTCGTAATATAAATAATATAGTAACGTTAGTTATCTACATAGGATTTGTTACAGGAATAATGCCAAAATCATTACATTTATTATCAAAAAGGCGAAGACAGCAATTAATTAAGTATGAAATTGTAAGCCATCAATACTCGTCACCAACAATATCGCATGAAAAAAATTTTAAAAGTATTGCCTCAAATAACTTGTTATCAAATGACTTACATTTATTAGCTTAATAATTCTGATGATAAGTGTATTTGTGAATGTTATTCTAAAGTAACAGAGAATGAGAGAGAAATAGAGAGAGAGTTCAGAAAGATAGATGGGACTGATGATGATATTAATTTAAATGACAGTTATGAAACGTATGAAAACTGCAGTATTTTTGAAGAATCTAATTTTTATAATACTCCTTTAAAAGACTTAAATATAGATAATACTCAAGAAACTAAAACAAACGATTTATTGAAAAATTTGCGCGATTGGATATTACAATTTAATATTGACAGAGCCGCAACAAATGCTAACTTAGCTATTTGGAACAAATATGGTTTTGATGTTCCTACTGACTATCGTACTATAATGAAAACACCACGACTTACTAGTGAACTTATTTCTACAGTAGGAAGTGGAATTTATAGCCATTTTGGAATTGAACTTGGAATTAAATTTCAAATAAAACTAATTTTTTGTACACCTCCCGAGGAAATCAAAATTAATATACATATCGATGGATTACCTTTAACTAACAGTTCTAAAAGTGATTTTTGGCCCATCTTAGGATCGATTTGTACAAATTCACTAAATTATACAGAACCTTTTGTTATTGGTATTCACCATGGCAAAAGCAAACCCGAAAACTCAAATGATTTCCTCAGACCATTTGTTGATGAAATGAAAAATTTGAATCAAAATGGAATTAAGATTAATGGACAAGTAATTTCTATTAATATAAATGCTATTCTTTGTGATACTCCTGCTCGGTCATATGTCTGTCAAATTAAGGGTCATACTGGATATGAAGGATGTTCTAAATGTATTCAGGAAGGACATTTTATTGAAAACAGAATGACATTTCCTGAAATACACTCTACATTAAGAACTGATGAATCATTCAGAAATAAACAGTATCCAGATCATCATATAGGAAATACTTATTTAGAAGAGTTAAAGATTGACATGATTAAACAATTTCCGCTTGACAGTCTGCACTTAGTATACTTAGGTAATATGAAACGTTTAATTCAATTTTGGTATAAAGGATCTAAAAACGTTAGGCTTGAAGGTAATACTTTTGCAGTAATTAGTGAAAAATTAGTTACAATGTCTGAATTTATTAGTAAAGAATTTGTAAGGAAACCGCGACATATGACTGAAATTGATCGATGGAAAGGAACAGAACTACGTCAATTTTTGCTTTATACAGGACCAATTATTTTACTCAATATGCTACCTGAACATACGTACATACATTTTCTAAGTCTTAGCACAGCTATTAGAATATTAAGTGATGAGAGATTATGTCAAATGCTAAATCAATATGCTCATGAACTTTTAATGTGGTTTGTTTCTGAGTATAAAAATATATATGGAAGTAGTAACGTAATATATAACGTTCATAATTTAGTACATTTGGCTAGTGATGTAAAAAATCTTGGCCCTCTAGAAAGTTTCAGTTGTTTTAAATACGAAAGCTATTTAGGTAAAATAAAGTCAAAAATACGAGCAAGTGGTAAACCTTTACATCAAATAATTAATCGACTATATGAGGAAACTTTTGTTAATAAAAATAAAACTTTCGTGGCAAAATCATATCCAATTGCATTATATCGAAATTTAAATGGTAAAACTATTGTAAAATGTATACAATATCGTACTTTTACGATATCTAAACGTCATCCTGATAATTATTGTTGTTCAGAATTGGAGCGTCAATTCGTGCGGTCGTCGATATTGCTCGAGAAACCTCTTCGTTTCGAATCGTTGTTGATTCGACTTTCGAGCAATGTCGACGT